CATAAATTCTTTAATATTATAATATCCTTTTTATACATACTTAGTTTAATAAGGTTTTTGAACTTTGAGCAGGTCAAATTTTGTATATTTTCTGGAATTTTCTTTTAAAAGCATATACATCGCCCCAAGAATGAATTACTGACTCAGTGGAGTCGAGTAACTGGTACTACTAGCTTGTGTCTATTCCAAGTATTTACAGAATGAATATCACTTATTTTTGTAAAACTACTTTTATATTTGTGTACATTACATTTTCATAAATGTATTGACAGGCCAAAGTTAATATATTAATTTCCTTAAATTTTTGTCACAGGGACTCCTTAGCACTATGGGATATAATATATATTATATCCCAAAATATAAATCTTATTCAAAATATATTAAATATATAAAACATTTTTTTAATTGTAATTGTGAAAAACTTGAGCGAGTATATAACACAAAATATCTTGGAATAATTTTTGACCAACATCTTTTGTGGATTAATCAAATAGAATACGTAAACGCCAGAATTCGTAAGCTTATATGGATATTTAAAAAACTGCGTTACGTTACAACGACTAAATTGATAAATCAAATTTACACATCTTTAGCTCAGTCAGTTCTAGGATATTGCATTACGGTATGGGGAGGAGGGGCTAAAATTAAGTTACTGAACATAGAAAGAGGACAACGATACATTCTTAAAGTTATGTATTTTAAGTCTATTAGATTTAATACACAACAACAGTTGTTCTGTATTAAACAGTACAGTTACTGTATAATATTATTAGTGATGTTCTTACGATATGATCCAAAAAAAAAAACATCTACACGGGGGAATCATAACGTCATTAAACAAATTTATGTAAAATCTAAATTTGCTGAGAGACAGTACTGTGCCCAATCAAGATATATCTACAATTATTTAAATAAAAAAATAAACATTCATCGGCTTAATTATCGCGAATGTAAATAAATACTTACCGATCATCTTAAAAAAATATCTTATCACACCACATAAAACATACTACGTCACGGAATTAAATAATATATTTGTTTATCACAATAGAATAGAATTAAATAAAATTACATAAAAATAATAATAATAGATATGCTAACACACACAATCACACACACACACACACACACACACACACACACACACACACACACACACACACACACCTACTCTAAATCATAGGTAATCGTGCTCGGCTTATTTTAATATTTAATGTTATTAGGAAGAGCGGTGCCTCCTGACACAGGTATTCTTTTATACTTACTAGGAGGCTCCAATCACTTTATTATTTAGGATGCCTTGAGAAAGAAATAAATGGATTTTTTATTTTTAATTTTAATATTTAATTTAATAAATTATATCCCGCTATCGGCTTTCACACTGTGAGATATATCTTTTAACCAATGTGCGTTCGTCATTGGATTACCCCCTGTACACGGTTTTGCAGCGGTGCGGAACGGTGCACAGGGGGAACCGGGGGCGAAATATAATATGAAAATAACGGGTTTTTCAACAAGAACATTGTTTTTCAATTGGGGCAACACCAAAAACATGACAGTTTTGACATTTAGTTTTTTGACCTATTCGTAGTAGATGCTTTGGCAATTGCTACAATGAATTAAATTTCGCTCGAAAATCGCATTAAAATAATTAAAATCCACTATGAAAATGGTGGTTCTGTTAAAGTTACGTTTCGTAAAATTCGTGATATTTTCGGACAACATAATCGTCCTTCTGAGACCGCTATTAAGAATTTGCTCGCTAAATTTGAATCGACAGGATCGGTACAAAATGCGCCAACACCAACGCGTTCGACCGAGTCGTTCAACCGAAAATATCGCAGCCGTGAGCCACAGTATTGAAGAAGATCCAAATTTGTCAATTCCTCGATGTTCTCAACAATTGGGGTTATCCAAAACCACTACACGGCGAATTTTGCGTAAGGATTTGGCTTTGAAGCCTTACAAGGTTCAACTGGTGCAGGAATTGAAGCTGATCGACCATTCACATCGCCGTAGATTCGCTCAGTTCATTCAGGAACAGCCCGCTGGTTTTTCTGAAAAAATCATTTTTTCAGACGAAGCCCATTTTCACTTGTCAGGGTACGTCAACAAGCTAAATTGCCGCATTTGGGCTTCTGAAAATCCTAAAGCGATTATTGAGAAGCCTTTGCATGCTCAACGTGTCACTGTATGGTGCGCTATGTGGTCTGGAGGCGTGATTGGGCCGTTTTTTTTCGAAGATGAGGCTGGAAATGGTAACGGTCAATGGATCACGCTATCGCGAGATGTTAATATCTCGATTTTGGCCTATTATTGATGACATCGATATCATAAACATGTGGTTTCAACAGGACGGTGCCACATGTCACACAGCCAACGAAACGATCAATTTATTGCAAACCAAATTTCCCGATCGCATAATTTCACGAAATTCAGCTGTTAAATGGCCAGCCAGATCGTGTGATTTAACACCACTGGATTATTTTTTGTGGGGCTATGTTAAGGAAAGAGTCTATACGGAGCCAATCGAATCGATCGCGGCCTTAAAACTCAAAATCCGTGACGTGATTAACGAAATAGACCCGCCATTTTGCCAAAAAGTGATTAAAAACCTTGATGAAAGAATCGACAACTGTCAGCGTGGTCGTGGTGGACATTTGCCAGATATCATTTTTCATTCATAATTGCCAAACTTTTCTCTTCGTAATACAATAAAAATTTGAATCATCTTTATCTAAACTCTTTGTTTTATTTTGTTTTAGAAAACAAAGTTCTTGTTGAAAAACCCTTTATAACTCGGTCGATCGAAAAAATATTTATAGTTTGAGATGTAATATATATTATAGCTCAGTGTAAACGGTTCCGTTTTAAAGTATGGTGAGCGACATTAATTTATATCTAGAGATGTAATATAATATATTATATTATATCCCATAGTGAATAGCGGGCTTTACTATCACAGACTAACTATAAAAATTATAGTAGATTCTACCCGGGTACCACAGAGTATCTTTTTATACCAAGGAACCAAGGATTACTATAGATTACTGCAGGCTGGTGCAACTTCCATAGTAAAAATTATATGTACTACAAGGGTCAAATTTTAATGACGGTTACTCCTCTTTATGCTTTTCGTGATATGTCTATTAACGACATTGTCAAATGAAATAGGTTCAAATGTCAAATCAAACATTTATATTTGTATATATTTTATTAATTAAGATTGCTTTTAATTTTGCTATAGGAGCCGTTGTTCATTTACAGAATTGTTAAGAAATTAAATATGCGTTATAAAACTTTCCAATTAAATGGTGCAAGAAGCGGAAAAAATGATAACAAGAAAAGGCTATTCGTAACAATATTTCCCTTAGATGATGAAAGGTATGTGGTGATTTCAACTTAAATAGTAATATGATATTCAACGCGAGTATATTTTTGGACTAGCCATCTATGTAGGACATGTTTTTATAGTGTACGATTGTGTGCACAAATACAAACACACTATTTCCTAAATCTGATAGTTCGATGGTTTGGCAATCCGAAACGAACTATACTTAGAAACTACAAGTCAATTCTGACTGCTAACATTCTATTTGTTCAATAATAATGTGATTTTATTTATATTATTTTTTCAGATGCAAGCAATGGGTGAAATAGCTGGCACATGCACTAATTGAAAAGATTCACATATTTGTGACAAACATTGCATATGAACCCAACTAAAACGAACTGTTATTTCTTTAATGGACTTACTTTAAACTTCCACAATTTATGTGTATGTTAATTAGGTTTCATTTACATGTAGCAAAAGATAATATCCCTCTAAAGTCACATTTTGGCAAGAATTAGATTATATAACTAAATCATTATTTTATTCATCAATAAACATTAGCTATAATGAGCACTTATTTTGAAAGCGACAATTAATAAACAATCTCTGCGAATAGTATGTACATAGGTGCCTCTGTGAAGAAGCCTAGCGATTTGTACATAGTATTTGTTACACATAAAAGCAATTTAATCCAATCAGTATTAAAAACCCAATATTTTTACCCTTAAAAAAACTAACGTTGAAAACAAGCATCCAGACGCAGACTATTTACCTTACAGCATAGCAACAATTGTTCAGTGCGGGAAGGAAGCCTCGGTCCTGCAATGCGCAGCCAAACGCTTAGCCACTGCGCTACGGAGTCGTCATTTATTTTTTACTTAATTAATTACTAGTATAAGAGTGGGTTTTTTATTTTATATTTTTTTTATACATACTTTTGTACCTAATTGTAGAGATAGAGATATAAATACAAATTGCTGTGTGTAAAATAAATTGATTTCTTATCCTCATCGGCATTTTTACTCAATCCACACGTTAAAAATTTTATTTCTCTCTATATTCAGTATAGAGATCTAACTTTTCTTATGTAAAAATATCGATAAACAATATATCGATAAAGGTTATATCGATAAAATTATTCGAGGATAGACATTTACAGCACTATTGTAATTCGTTAATGTTGTCAGCTTTGTTTCTCAAAACTAGATGTCATATCTTGATGTTGGTAGAGTAACTTGGCGTAATTACATGCAATTATTTTTACTATGGAAGTCCCGCCTCTTAAACGTAGTGATTATATTCTCTTTGGATTACTGTATGCCGGGTACTATACTCTTTGATTTGTGAATGTTGTTTATAGAAATTTTGTTATTTTAAGTTAATTTTATAGAAATAAGCAAATAAGAAATAACCCTAGATAATACGAGAGGTTTTTAAATTTTATATAAATAGTAAAAAAATAGTTTAATATACTATTAGACTCTAAGCACCAAGTATTTCGACAAATCGTGTTTTCAGGTATTTGTAGAAAAATATCCTAGTGGAAGAATATTAAAAATTATCAAAAATGTCTCAAGCTGAAAGGTAGTTTTTATCAGCATCGTAATCTTGGCACATGAATTACATCGTAGGCTCAGCACTAATAGTGTACTACTTAAAACTAATTATGTATTATTCCAGCGAAAAACAAACTGAAGACAATAAAACTGTACAAAACTTAGCAAAAGGTTTAATGGAATTGTATGAGCCCCCCTTAGTTACTATTAACGCTCATTTAAAAGAGCTGACGTGAGTTGAGTATTTTTTTTTTAATGTCAATTACATTATTGTACATATTAGTATCATGGTTTATCTCTAGTTTATTACATTAGTAATCCAAGACAATTTATGGGTTTAGAGTACATTGCTCAGATATTATAAGGTTATCTTTCTATATAACGAGAGAAAAATGACATCATAATGATTTCTTATATTTACGCAGAATATTAAATAAAACCAATTTTTATGGATTCTATCAGGTTTAATTCCTAATGTTTCAGGTACTTTATGGCACCCATGGTCATGGGGTGTACTGAGGTGCTTGACATCCCGATGTCATAGTTAGCCTGGCTACTTTGTATTTTAGAGTTTATGGAATTAAGGTGGTCTAAAAATGCAGTTACTTTGTCAGATGGTAAAGTTGTGAAAGTATCACTTACGTACCGCTTGTAGAATCTTGGATTTACAGGAACAGTAAGAAAGGCTTTCTCATGAAAGTCCTCCATGAATATGTGGGCGACTACGGGAGTGACAGGTGAGCCCATTGCCACAACGTCTACTTGCTTGTAGAACTCTTCCTTCCACTATAGATAGCCAGATGTGAGGCAGTGTTTGAGTGCATATTTTGTAGATCGGACCAAAAATTAATATTCAAAAACTGAAGGTAGCCAGGTTAACTATGGCATCGGGACGTCAAACACATCAGTCACCTCCGTGACCATGAATGTTGTAAAGCACCCGAAACGTCTGGAATTACAAAAATTAATCAAAAGCAATAGAATCTGTAAAAATTAGTTTAATTTAATGACAACATTACATAATAAATTTCGATTAGTATATAAAACAAGTATGTGTATGATATACGTATAATTATGTTGAGTGGGTGATTTGGAAGATTTTAAATATAAAACATCTCCAAGGTACGAGACACATACCAAACAAGTTTCCAAGTACTTTTTTTTTAAAAGGAAGGAATATTTCCACAAATTTTCAGCTGTCAGCTGGCATGTATTTCCGATGTAAAAAGATCCATCACATGCCAAGAGGGTGTCATAAGGGGCGATTATGAGATTTGCCAAAAAAGATTATACAGCTTTAGATAGATAATGGTATATTCACTTTGTTTACGCTGAGTTTAAAATATTTATGTCTAGCCAGTAAAGCTGAACCCACATCTGTCCGCGCCGTACGCGCCGAATTTTAGAATTCGTTATATGAAATCATACGATACCTCGCACATTACACGTGCACCGTACACGCTGAACTTTATAAAATGCGGTAGGTATACGATATCGAAGGATGAATGCTGATGACGTCATATAACGCGGTGCGTTTGGCGCGTGTTGATACTCAGTGTTGCTAATGTTGCCAACTTAATGAATTTTCCATTAAAACTGGTGGTTTCGACTTTTGTTTCGAATTATATTTTTTAAGTGTTAAGTGTACACTGCGGTTAGAGGTTGGCAGAAAAATGCTGCAACAAAATTGAAATTCCGATAAACGTTATGAAATGAATACTTAGTGATAAATTATGTAAATACATTAAAAAATTATAGTGAATTTTAATTTAAAAACCCAACTATACACATGATTACTTAATTATCAATAAAAAGAACTCACCTCAAACATACAACAAGTCTTTCCTCTGGTTCAATTGGCCTTCTAAATCTTAAGTTTTCCATATAAAGATATGGTTTTAATATATGTAACAATTCTTGAAATTTCTTGCATGTTAAATGCAAATATCTAAAAAAATCGTTCATCATCATATAGCAAGTCTTTAAATAAAGTATATTCCTCTCCATACAATTGCCTTTTTAAATTAATACTATGAATCCAGAATCTTCTTTTTCTTCGAATTTTGTTTTCTTCTTCCTGTGACAATAAGCAGGCTATTACAATATTTTTTTCCATAGTGATTCCGAGTGATAAATGTCTTCAATCTAATCTATCTAATGTACCGTTTCACACCAGTGGTTGGAAGAAACTGCAAGAGTTGTTGGCAATCCGAAAGATTTGCGTACGGCGCGGACGGTGCGTACGTGCAAATGTGCGAGGCCATCAGTAAAATTCGGATGCGGATAAATGTGCGTTCAGCTTAAGAGTCCACTGTCCAGGAGAATGTGTAGGATATTCATTTGTTAGATTTACATTTTTTAATATATTTTTAATTCACAGAGAAAAGCAAGAGGCTGTGCACAGCATGTTGTCATCAGAAAGACGTAAACTTGAGGATATTCAAAATGACGCTATGTTGGATGCATTAGTAAGTTAAAATAGACAGATATTATCTATAAATGTAATCTATGAATGTATTGTTTGTATTATTTGCCATAGTTATAATGTTAATGTTAATGTTAATGTTACTGTGCTCCTGGTAGATTATCTTCTATACATCCATCCACTACAGCCTACAGCCTAAAGTCCACCTACTGAACATAGGCCCCTATAGATTGCCTCATAGGGGGATATTTGCCATAGTTGCTACGCTTGGTGGGCGGTATGAGATAGGAAATATTTTTACATTATCACAACACATTTGTGTTGTTCTAGTAGGTAATAATTACATCTAGGTATCAACTGGTTTATTTTTGTTCAGTCCATAAAAGTCTACTGCTAGGCTCTTCCATTTGAGGGAGCATTTGCCATAATTGTCATGCTTTACAGTGTCAGATCACTTCTCACACTCTAGACAGTGCTTGCCGTTCCAAGTTTCGTAGTATTACATCTGGCGTAAACAAGATGATTTTACTGCTAACTGTCTAAAGCTGGCTGTCAAAAGGCTTTAGTACTATAGACCACATACATACCCTTCGGCAAATTGTGCAGAAGACCGACTAGTACAATCTGCCGCTTTGTCTTGTGTATGTGGACTATGAAAAACCCTTTGATTCCGTCGAAATTTGGGCAGTGCTACAGTCCCTTCAGCGGTATCAAGTTGACTGTCTGTATATTGAAGTGCTGAAGTGTTTGTATAGTAGGGCTATGATAGCTATCCGAGCACAGAATCAGGGTACGAAACCTATCAAACTGCAGAGAGGTGTAAGACAGGGTGATATTATATCCCCAAAACTATACCGCTGCATTGGAAGACGTTTTCAAGTTACTGGACTGGAAAGGATACGGTATTAACATCAATGGCGAATACATCACACACCTTTGATTTGCCGACGATATAGTCCTTATGGCAGAATCACTGGAGAACCTAAGCAATAAGCTCAATTATCTCAATGGTGTCTCCCAACGGATAGGTCTTAAGATGAACAAGGACAAAACAAAGATCATGTTTAATGTCCATGCACACCTATGCTGGTAGTTGTTGGGAGCACTAAGCTTGAACTAGTTGTTGATGTCCAACAACGAGAAAGTCCAACTTCAACTGAGAGGTAAATCGACGGATTCAACTCAGCTGGGCAGTGTTCGGGAAATTACGACACATCTTCTCATCAGGAATACCTCAAAACCTGAAAACGAGATTATACAACCATTGTGTGTTGCCAGTGATGACTTATGGGTTTGAGACTTGGTCCTACACTGCTGGTCGTATCCTACGCTCAAGGTAGCTTAGCGAGCTATGGATCGAGCTATGCTCGGGGTTTCTCTGCATGATAAAATTAAGAAATGAGGATATCCGCAGTAGAACCAGAGCGACCAACATAGCCCAACGGATTAGTAAGCTGAAGTGGCAATGGATAGCTCGAACCGACAACCGAAGGTTCTCGAGTGGCAGCCTCGTATCGGTAGGCGTAGTTTAGGGCGACTTCTCACTAGATGCGAGTGACGATCTGGTAAGATATGCAGGAAGTCGATGGATGCATGTAGCTCAGGACCGTGCTTTCTGTCATTCCTTGGGGGAGGCCTATGTTCAGCAGCGAACTTGTGTGGACTGTGATGATGATGATGATGATAATTATCAATGATAATAACGTTTATTCCTTCGTGTGATATTGTGTGTCAATTTTTTGGCGTCAAGTTGATAGTGTGTATCCGAACATGAGAAATGTCAATAGGTGGGAATTACCTTGTCCTCAATGTTTAGTTTTTGTTGTGTTGCTTTTTAAGTAATACAGTCATATACATAAAGAAAACCATGCCACGAAATCTGCATCCACTGTAGTTAAAGGAAACAAAAATTAGGGGTTTATGGGCGAAATAAAGAATTATAACAATGGAGAAGTTTCATGACGTTGTTAATATTATATTCAACATAATGGTATTAAAATATAGATCAAAACTAATCAATCACTTAGAAATAGATTTGGAGTTTACGTATTTTAGTACGGAACGTCTGTGGTTTCTGATTCGCCTGTGACGTCATCTGACCTATCCGAGATCGCCACACCACGAATCATTCAAGTATTAGTTCTTGTGCTATTGTTTATTCCGTAGTATTAGTTTCAGAGTCGCGCCAGGGCTCTTGCTTCGTTCGTGTTTATTTACGTATATCGTGTTTTTTTATTTGTGTGTAATTTTTATTTCACTATAATGGAAGAAAGCTTCGTCTAAGGACAAAGTGATAATTTGCCTAACATTGTTATATACACAGTAATGGACTTTCTTCTTTAAATCCGTCTTATGTTAGTGCTGAATTAAAAGGAGTTAAACTTTTTAAGTAAATATATATAGTTTTACAAAATAATAAAATAAATCAAAATCCAATATTTTACTAGAAAATCAGTCTTTTATTTCAGTTCCATATGTGGTACACTGAGCCTTAACTATAATTTTTTGTGATTGAACTAGAACTTTTCAATTATTTTAGGAACATGTTACCATTTGAATTATGTTGAACTGTACTTAACAAATTAAAAAAAAACATATTACAAAATAATTATAACAAAATAACGTTTTTTTTAAATTACCTATTGGTGAAAGTTTCTGAAACTATTATTATATTTATTGAGGCAGAGTTCAACTCGACATGTTTCACACGATATAAATGTTTTCCTTTACAACCGGGGTATTCACAGTATTGCTTTTGTTGACCTCAAATTGGAAAATGCTCAAAACCGTCACATCTGACTTCACGAGGGGGTAAAATTGCCGTATTCGGCTTCTTTTTTTATTTTAATTTGATCAGGCAAACTTGACGTTCTGCCTCTTTTCTTAGTGATCGATGGCCCACACAAGCACAGACTTTTCCTGGGTCAAATTTGAAGTCTTTTAGCTTTAGTGGGTTGGCGTTTGCTTTTGCTCTCCAATTCTTCTGTACAGTAACCAACTATTTATTACAATAACATCAAGAAGATGATAAAATAGCCTCAAATACCATTTTCTTGTCCTTATTTTTGTTTTATATTTTCCCAGAAACGAATCCAGTTTGTCGACACCTACCATATGCTGGTTATATACTTTTTACAATTTGGGGACAATCTACCTGTATATATTTCTTCTGTTTCTTGCAGTACCTCTTTACTGATTGCATTGGCTCTTGGCCCACGAAAGACGATGATAAGACAATTAGTTTGTTATCATACCACATCACTGTTACAATGTCTATACCATCAACATTTGCCACCCATCCCTCAGGAAAACCCCTCTCCACTTTATCTTCTTTTAGATCCTTTAGGGAAGCGATTTGAACACCCTTTCCCAAACGACCTTTGTTCACAGTCCCCAGCAATAAGATTTCTTCTTTGGCCAAATGTGAAATCAATTCCGGTGACGTGTAATAGTTATCAAAAAAATCCTGTATTGTTTGTTCCTGGGTATGCACCTGGCTAAGCGTACAACGATATTTGAACTCGCTCCCAAGTCTGGCTCACTTGAATCCCTTAGTTCTGGATCGTTCTCCATTCGAATCAGAACCTTCCTTTTGATGAGAGACGCAGAGCCGTGTTGTCTAGTTCTGTTAGCAAAAGCAATACCCACGGAAGTCGACGATCGTTTCGTTTCACGTGATTGTCTATTGTCACCTGAAGTTCTCGCCGAAATCACACCTGAATTTGAAGGTTGACGGATGTTTCTATATCAATAAGGGATTCAGAGAAAAAACTGACGGTAGACTAAATTTTTTCTGTCTTCATCACTTTCAGCTTCAGAGAAGTCTTCGTCATCTTCACTCCCTCATAGTATATACCATGAGGGAGTGATCTTCATCACGCAATCGTTTGCACGACATAATCTGTAATAAATAAAAGTATTCATAAGTACACTTCTTCGTAAATACGTATTCGTAAAAAGGAAGGCTATAGCTCAACATACCGTACGTGGAACATAGATAAAAATACGATTGATCAATAGATATAAGAATACAGTAGTAGTAGTTAGAAGTGGTTCACGAAAGTAGTCGAATGGCGGATTCGAACCCACGACCTTTCGAGTTCACGGTCCGCACCCTGCCATTAGGCTACTGACGCTTCAAATATAAAGTAAATAGTAGAACATACCTTGCGCTTTCGCTTAAGGCCTGCAATAACGAATACATAATATATAGTTATTTTTACTGAATAAGTTATTCCGAACCTAATTACGACTCAATAGGTATATCAACAAGTGGTATGCGGGAAGTAAAGACTGTAAGAACCTCCGAAGGAGGCGGAGTTATAGCCGAAATAAGAATTTTTAATTAGTCATAGTCATTTATTCCAAAAACAATATACACTGTGTGGGAAAACTTAATTGTAACATAAAGTTTTATATTTAATTAATTAACATTATTTGTGTTTACTAAAACACAAATTACAAATTAATTATTAATTAAATAATGCATGCAATATTAATTTTACCTAACTCAATATAATCATTCACTGAATAGAAACATTGTTCCAATAAAAAAGATTTTAACCTTTGTTTAAAAATGTTAACATTATTTATGGTTTTTAGGGCATTAGGTAGTCTATTAACAAGTTTTACAGCTTCATTTCTGACGCTATGCTCAACAACCTGTAGTTTTGTTTTAAAGACATTGGGTATATTCTTTCGTCTCGTGTGGTATCTTCTTGCCATTTCATCATTAGTTTCATATCTGTTCGGATGTTTGACAAGATCAGTGAGTAAAGTTAGAATATACAAACAGGGTACAGTGAGGGTATTCAAATTTATAAATGTTAAATTTATAAATGTTAAAATATTCTCTACACGATTGCCTCTGGTGTATGCGAGATATTATTATAATTGCTCTTTTTTGTAGAATAAACGCTTTTTTACATTAAGTATAGGCATAACTATTTCGACAAAACTTAATACTGTATCTTAAGCGAGATTCTATTAGAGCATAGTATACAATTTTTAATTGTTTCGTGGTCAATTTTTTGGTAATGAAACTTTTTACCCCTAATCAACCATGACCCCCATGACATTTTCTACATGATAGGCTATTCAAACTGACTAGGCCTAAAGTTCGAGACACCCCCCCCAACTCATTACTAAACTCTTTACTTCCAATTACTTCCAAATCAGAAATAGGCAGCTTTTATTAATAGTTACTTACATCAAAATGATCTTCACACACATATTTAGTGCTTTTAGGTCCAATTAAATTGCGGTTCATTAGTTTACAACACTTTATCCTTGTTATATTATTTGGTATACGAAAAAATAAATATTGGGATTTTTAACTGTTGTGCTTTGACACAGGAACAATACAATATTTGTAGGCATTCTTTTTTAACTTCTGCCATCGGGTAATGAATAAAACAATAAACTTGTACGTACTCGGCGAATACGTGCTGCGTCGTCTAGATCAAATGACGTCACACGACGGAGCGCCGCGTGTAACTAAATTATTCTTGTAAGCGCAACTTCTAAAGCCCCGTATCCACCAAAAATGTTGACAAGATTTATGTTTCCAACTGTTTCCAACTCTACAAAAGTTACCTACCAACATTTGTTTCCGATGTTTCCGACAAATGTTTCCAACAAGCGTATTCCTTTGATGTTGCCGCCGAAAATGGAAACACGGTTTCCGACATTGTTTCAAGTTTTGTTACCAACACTAGGTAACTACAGAAACATTTGTTACCAACACGTGTTGGCAACACAACAGTTGGTAACAAAACTTTGGTGGAGACGCGGCTTTAGTCCCACAAATTTTTCATTTCTAGAGATATTTTATTGATTCTTTCACATTTTAGTTTTATTTCACTCAAATTTTTATAATTTATCCATTAAAAAAATGGAAACTTCTCCATTAAAATACTTTTATTACTCATTATATTGCTGAATAATAACCGGATAATCTTTATATAAAATTACGTGTCACGTTGTTTGTTCGCGATGGACTGCTAAACTACTGAACTGATTTCAATGAAATTTTGCACACTGTGTGCAGTTTGGTCCAACTTGAGAGATAGGATAGTTTTTATCCCGGTAAATGTCTCTCAAATTTTTTTTTTGCGAATTTAAGGATTTTTTAATAGGACAGAGGGTCGTCGGTATGGGCAGAACGACGTCTGCCTGGCAAGCTAGTTATTGTATAATTATCAGATAGTTATCAATGAACATTATTATCTTGATAATTTGCAATCCTGCCTCTACCATTTCTCATTGTCATGCCTTCACTCATGGGTGATGGATTCTGTTACAACTACCGTACAGCATACTCATAACTCATTCCTGTCCTGTGAGTTTTTCTTTCATTAAACTGAACCTCTGCTTTCACGGCTTAATCTTTTTGAGAGGTCTATTTCTACTTATGTAAGCCGGTGGACTATATTTTCATGGTGACAATTTTTTCCAGTTGGCAGATATAGCTACCATCAAAGAACGATTAGTCAATATTTCTAATTCCATGGTTGGTCTTCACAAGAGGGTCCAGTCTTTACAGGTAAGCCAATTTATTAGCAAATAAAGAATATTATGTAGAGTATCATAGTAACTTATTAATTGGTGTTGTTACCACACTGGGAATTAATACTGTTTATTTTGGGTTTGGGCTTTCGCTATTTTATAAAGCTCCTTTACTGTGGACAAACATCAAAACATGGAACAAATGTAAATGACCATACAATACATTACATACATTTGGGGTTCGAACCTGCATTCCAATTAATAATAGTATTTGAGTAATGCTCAAAAATGCCGTGCTATGTGCTCAATGGTGAAAGTAGACATTGAAGACATTGAAAAGCAAACCGGCATGTCTGATAAAAAACACGAGTTGCAGACATGTGAAGTCTGCCAGTGCCAGTGCACATTGGGGCAGAGCGATTTAATATTCATTGCCCAGCATTGGGCCGTATATCTATTATATTACTACTTTTATAATGCAAAATACAATTTACCGTGTGTTGATGACGGTCAATTGTCTCAATGTGTCATAGGCAAATTTTAAACAAAAACAAAAAAACTTTCATCATCATTGATTATAATCATTACAGCCCTTCACAAGTCTACTGCTGAACATAGGCCTCCCCCAAGGAATGTCACAAAGCACGGTCCTGAGCCACCTGCATCCGTTGTTCTATGTCGGTCACTCTGGTTGCGGATATCCTCATTTCTAAGTTTATCATGCAGAGAAACTCCGAGCATAGACCTATGCATAGCTCGCTGGGCGACCTTGAGCTTCCACTTACGGCCAGCAGTGAAAGACGACGTCTCAGTTCCATAGGTCATCACTGGCAACACGCACTGGTTGTGCAGTCTCGTTTTCAAGTTTTGAGGTATACCTGAAGAGAAGATGTGCCGTAATTTCCCGAACGCTGCCCAGCCGAGTTGAATCCGTCGATTGACCTCTCGGTCGAAGTTGGACTTACCTAGTCGGACTATTTGTCCCAGGTAAACATACTCGTCAACAATTCCGAGCTTAATGCTCTCAACAAATACCGGCATAGGTGGGACATGGACGTCATATATGATCTTTGTTTTGTACATGTTCATCTTAAGACCTATCCGTTGGGAGGCACTATTAAGGTTATTGAGCATAGTGCTTAGGTCCTCGAGCGAATCTATCATAAGAACTAACTATATCGCGGGCAAATCTGAGGTGAGTCATGTAGTCGCCGTTGATGTTAAGTCCAGAAGCTTGAAAATTCCAATGCAGCGGTGGAGAGTTTCCGGAATATAACGTCACCCTCTCTTACACTTCTCTGCAGTTGGATAAGTTTCGTACTCTGGTTCGATACTCGGATAGCCATCGTAGCCCTACTGTACAAACACTTCAGTACTTTGATATACCGATAGTCAACTTGGCACCGTTGAAAGGACTGCATCACCGCTCAAGTTTCGACGGCATCAAAGGCTTTCTCATAGTCCACATACGCCAGACATAGTGGTAAATTGTACTCCTCGGACTTCTGTACAATTTGCCTAAGGGTATGTATGTAGTCTATGGTGCTAAAGCCTTTTCGGAAACCGGCTTGTTCGAGAGGCTGGAAGTCGTCGATTGCGAGACGATTCGTAATGACTCTCGAAAATAGCACGTAAAAGCGGCTCAGAAGGGAAATCGGTGTGTAGTTCTTCAAGAGAGCGTTGTCGCCTTTCTTGAAGAACAAGACCACCGCACTTCTGCTCCACGCCTCCAGTGTAGTGCCACCATGGAGGACTAAATTAAAGAGCTTCTGAAGAACTTCAAGTGTTACGGCCTACGGTTGCTCCCTGAAATGATCCAATCCTCTGGGGCCCATGAGCAGAAGACTTCCCGAGCAAACGTAGGTCGGGCCTCAATGTGGCCACGTGGAAATTCCTAATTACAATAAACCAGATGGGAGGACGTTAGAAGGACATAGTACTTACCATTATCCGAAGGTAACTTCGCACCAAGGCTTGGGCAGGCCGTGAGTGTGTGTAATAGTGGATGGAGAGTAGTGTACAGTGAGGGGTGAATGTGTGGGGCCTTGTCAAGCATAGGCGACCAGCTGCTGCCGAGTTCCAGGCTGCTCCAAAATGCTGCCACACTGCTTCAGACTGCTTCGGCGCCGGACCACAGTCACTTTCTTCTTTCGTCACGATGACAGCCACTTAACTCTATCGTACGATTAACTAGCTTACAGAAGCCACTAACTATCGCGGGGTATAAGGGTACCGCACAAAACACGCACGGAGTTTCTGAATCAAAGGTCACTACCGTTTCGCGTTGCAACAGTTAGTTCTAGAATACAGAGGCCGCACTAGCTAATATTGTCGAATGCACTTATACAGATTCTGAGTCGGACCCAATAAGTCCCGGGGAAGCTCTCCAGTAGGGATACGCGCCACAAAATTCCTAGACCGTATTTTACTGTCCGCGCTTAATTATTCCGAGTTCCCGCGCTTAATTGGCAGCGTGCCAATCGTGAGCACTGCCTAAGGACGACTGACTGCCCTTGGGCGTTTTTCGCACGACCGAAAGTCAAACTGGTATGAATGCACCGCGCCGAGCCCTCTCGCGTCAATCCTTGAAAGTGTTTGGCGCGAACATCAAGTATTGGTTTTCAACCCGCTTCATAAGCTCCGCTGTAATTCCATCCTCGCTTGGGGCTTTGCCGTTTTTAAGGTGCTGGAGAGCCATTCTAATCTCGCTCAGACTGAGGTCCAGAATATCATCGAAATAGTGTCGGATAAGACTTGCTCTTGGATCGTCACTCATACGATCCAAGATGTGGCGGCGCTGTCGTCGCGCCACAAGCGAAACACATCGAAGCCTAAATCGCACTAACAAAGTTTCGAAGTTAAAGCAGCGTATATAGAATACCTCCGAACTACCAATCGGAGCGTTGGCCGCACCTCGGGCAGAACACCTTGCCCGGCGGGAGATCTCCCCTTTTCCATCTACCCGCCACAGTGGTGACCCCGACGTGATATGAACACGCAACTAACAAACCTTCGGAAACTACACCTTCAAACCTTCATCATCCTCAAGTACCCCATTCATTCGCTCCCGAGCAGATATTGTCTGCAGTCTTCGCATTCTGCAAGCCATCTAGCTTAACAAAGGTTCATCGCAGCACTGGAATAATAATGCTTCCTGTTCCTTCAAGCTACTCTCTGCGCTACAGTGTTTGGCACGGCTCTGAGCCTTACTGCTCGCCTCTGCTTCACGGCACTCTCGCAGATTACTTGCCTTCTTCTCGACTCACCGCAGACTACAAGGCAATCCCTGGCACTTGCTCCGGCTCATCGTACTCACCGGGCATCACTTGGAAGTGCCTAGTACGGCATGCATTACACACCGGCATATCGTTCGCACCGACGTCACTTGCCTTTACGCATACAGCATGCATTCCCTACCGGCATTAAGGACGCACCGGCAATTGGACTGCACTATCGACCTCCGGTCTGAGCAGGGGGGTGATGTGGCGGCGCTGTCGTCGCACCACAAGCAAAACACATCAAAGCCTAAATCGTGATGACAAAGTTCCGAAGTTAAAGCAGTATATATAGAATAGCTCCGAACTACCACTCTGAGCGTTGGCCGCTCCCCGGGCAGAACACCTTGCCCGGAGGGAGGTCTCCCCTTTTCCGTCCACCCGCCACAAAGGCTTCAACGATGATGTGTACAGCTGCCCATAGAACCTCTCAATCTCATATTCATATCGTTCACTTTATTGCAATCTTCTAGGCACTGAAAACGGTTTTGTAGCTCGAGCTGAAAGGTTTCGGTACTCTGGATTAGAGCACGAGGGGGACGGAGCGTTGACTTCATTAGACGTGACCTCTCCAATTTAACGTTTAGGTTCAGTGTGCCTCTCACCATTCGGTGATCGCTGCCGGTTTTCACCCTCGCGATCATTGAGACATCACTGAACATTTGTCGTCTGGTCGTCATAACGTAGTCAGTCTCATTTTTTGTCGAACCCTCGGGACTCGACCAGGTCCACTTCCTGTGGGGCTGCTTCTGGAAGAAAGAGTTCATCATAAAGAGTCCGTCTTTTTCCATGAAGTCGGCCTCTTGAACTCCGTTACCCTATTCCAAATTTCCCTACCTTCAGCTCACCATTCTCTCTTGTGCCTAGTTTTGCGTTGAAGTCTCCCATTAACATCGTATAGTGGGTTTTGGAGGAATGCATGGCTCTAGATATATCCACCTCCTCATCGGAATGTGCCGAGGTTGGTGTGTAAACCTGTATGACTTTCAGCGAATATCGTTTGGTGATTCTGAGTATAAGGTACTCAACCCTCGTCGACGCACTATTAATCTTTACAATGTTGTTAAGGAGAGACTTGTGGACGGTAAATCCGACATCCTTGGGACAGACGGTTGCCCTACCGGTGATAGGACAAGTTGCCGGATTCGAAAATTATCATGTCCTCCCCTCTCTTTGGACCTCAAATAATCCTATAATATTCCAGCGCAACTTGTCTATCTCTTCTTCCAGTTCCAGGATCTTCTCGTCAGTCCTCAGGGTGCGTGCGCTATATGTTGCCAGGTCGAGTCGTCTTAGGTGGCAACCGAACCTCCACCGGAGATTCTTAGCACCCCCTCCCCGCCGTTACCATGGTCGCCACCGTAGCCAGGAATAGCGGGGCCGCCGGGGATTGGGGACCGTTTATTAGTGTCATTGCTCATGGGGGTTATATTGCCATAGTTGCCACGCTTGGCGAACGAGTTGGCAACCGCAGTTTTTTTATCGTAATTTGCTGTTATCAGAAAGATGCTGCTGCCCATCTTCCGTCACAGTTTCCCTCTGTTGCCTCTTACGACACCCACGGGAAGATATGGGGTAGTGGGTATTCTTACCCGCCACTACACGGGATCAAACTATCAAACTGTCACCTTGCACAATCAGGCCGATGATGAGAAGCATCAAGCAAGATGACTTTTGGTTTCGTTGGATTGTGTAAATGTATCGGTAAGGTTATAATATCATCAATACTGATACCTTAAGCCGATATATTTTTTATTTATATATTCATTATAATCTATCAAACGCACACTGTTGAACATAGGCCTCATCCACAAAGCGCCTATAAGGGGTTGAGGCTAATTGCCATAGTTGGAATGCTTTGCAGGTGGGTTGAAAAAATGATGATGCTCATTTCCTTCCTTTCCTCTGTCGCCTGTTACGACACCCATGGTATGGCATGAGATAGTGGATTCTTCTCACTAATAGATCGGGGAAAAAGCTTCTTTGTATTTTATTTGTATGAAGTTGAAGAAAAATCTCTTTGGTTGTACTGTTTGTATCTGGCTGATTTTAATATCAATACATATAAGACACTAAGAAAAAGAAAAATAGAAAGTAAAAAGCAGTTTACCGCCATTTTTAAATTGTATTTCTGTCCGTTAAAATGAGTGAATGTAACGAAGCGAATAAAATCGATACATTCTATAGTTTTATTATTAAAAATGCGACTCAAGCCGCGAAATAAATTTGTGACGCTTATGGATCTAATGCAGTGTGGGTAAGAGTAGCACAAAGTTGGTTCAAGCGTTTTTAATCCAGGAATTTTTATGTCAAAGATGCAGCTCGCTCTGGTCGCCCTCATACGGATTAAGTCGATGCCATTTTTGAAAAAGTAAAGCAAGATGGGCATATTAGTAATAACGACATAGCCGAGGAATTAAGGATTGACCACAAACAGTTTTGACCCATTTGAAAAAGTCTGGCTGTACAAAAAAGCAATTTGGGTAGTGTTAGGTTTACATCAAGAGAGGACTGTCAAAACTATTTGTCGCATTTTTTTTAATCAAAAATACCAATATTTCTACAGCAACGGAATTATGTATATATATACAGGATGGCAACAAGTTATCAAACAAAATAGCACATATATGTTAAGTATAATTAAATGTAGTAAAACTTTGCAAAAAAAAATATGTCTTGAATTTGTTTATAAAATATGACGAAACTTTTTCCCCAACCTTATATAAGGATGTTGGTGAGTGAAACTGAAAAACGTACTCCACCTGAGTTACACAATCGCACTTAGGTTTATCAGATAAGGAGATCAAAATATCTGCACAAATTATGAAAATTTCTGGATTTTGGGTTATAATAATAAGTATATACAGGAGAAATAAATATTAAAATAAAAAAGTTTATTTTTTTAATTAAGAGGTTACAAAAAGTACTTTAAAAGCTAATTAAAATACACTTAATTTTTATGTTGCAACATGTATTTGGCATTGGAATTTACTAGAGTCTACCAATTTGATCCTTTAGTAGTATTCAGAAAATATTTAAAATTCCAACAATTTACTCAAAATTCAGTCTAATTACAAACTCAGCTTTTATAAAATCAAATGCCATACGTTAACTTTTCCGGAAGCTGTTTGTCTGGAGATATTGAGTTTTGTCGGGAATCTGGAGATTATTTAAAATGTCGGGAGAATCCAGACGAATCCCGACCATCTGGCAACCCTAATCGCGCTGCTGGTATTGTGATAGTCCTTCCGCCTCCCAAGCGTGATGTTTACGGCTTATCTATCTGCAATAGGAGAGGCCCATGCCCAGTTGTGGACTATACCAGGTTGATAAAAAACAAAATACGATCGTTAAAAAATTAATGTAAGTTTTTATTATCATAAGTTTTTCTTCTTTCAGACAAGAGCTGCCAATGTGGAGAAAACAGCACTAAACAGAGCGAATGCTAAGAATTGATAGTGTTTGTTTTCGGTTAAGACTATGTAGGTACCTATATATAGTGGTAATCCATAATTATGGTCTTCATATTTATATTGTAATGTCAGTTCATCTTACCCTGAAGCGTAAGGTCGGCGGTGAAGAAAAACATCGCGAGGAAACCTGTATACCTGAGGAGTTTAAAAAAAATGTGTTCAAGGTCATTTAGCGCGGATACTGTCCCTTCTCTAAAAACCTCTAAAAAATTAGAGAAAGCCTCAGATTTATATAGAGATTGTTTACTATATTACCTTATTTTTTTTTAAATTATAATACCGTGTAAATATTGCCACATGTAAGTTTTATTCTATTTTTTATGTTGATTATTATTGTCGAGTTAACGTTTTATTTTGATTTAGAATAGCTTAAGGAAGATTGTTGAAATTAAAAAGTTGCTCCAGATGTTCGGAAAAAGGAAATGTATGTATATAAGAAAGAAAAACAAATATAATAAAAATTAAAAGTTAACAACTTCAACAGATATAACATAAGTATGTTTATAATTTTCATTAATTAAAATACATTCCTATAAGCCTGTCACGTGAGTTGTGCCGTGTAGGTCAAGCGGACCTCACTCAGCTTAAGCTGTTGCCGAAGCAACAGCACTAGTTTTCAGTGCGCATAAACGGCGATCAACTTATGGCTGCCCGTGCATGATAGATCGTCTAACATAAATCGTTCATGAAACTCGGTATCATGGCAGGGAACTTTGGCCCGATCCCAAATATCGAAGCCTGATTGTTTGAAGTGTTGGGTGGTCGTATAATAAAGCTTTCGGCATCAACGTCACTTGAATTTCTGTTTCGAATTCTAAGTCCGTTGAGTACGTTGACCCCTAGTTAGCTGATTGTAATTCCACTGCTGGTTTTAACCCTACAGTGCATGATTTTTTTTTTCGGCTTAAAAAATATATATTACCTAGAAAATATAATACTATAGCTCGGAAAAATATTTAAAAAAATCGCAACTCCATAGAAACATACTTATGTAAGTTTTTTCGTATGGCCCACATATGGCACATCGTGCAGTATAATGTAAATCCGTAGTAATGTTTTAGGAATAGTTATGAATGAAATAAACTCATAGTAATCAAACTTTATTCATGAAAATTATGTTTTATAACAACTAATTTAACCTTAGGTTAAGGAGCCTTACAATCAAAGTATTTGTACTTATATATAATTATAAAACTAGGAACTTTTTGTGAAAAATAAAATAAAATATAGAACAAAAACAACAATTTCGAAACTATTTGTGGAATGACAAAAAACAGTTCTTGTCCTTGTTGAGACAGAGTGCCTGGTTACATTTCTGGCAAATTACAAAAGATTTCCCCTTACAAGCAGGTAACTTACATCGCTTCCTAATGTTAGACCAAATAGGAAAGTGTTCCATTCCATCGGTCCTGACATCTTTTGGTGGTACATTGAGTTTTGGCTTCCTTTTGATTCTTTCATCAAGCATGTCAGATACAAATGAGGGGGGTCTTCCTCTCTTCTTTATTATTGACGGTCCACACCAACACAATGCTTTGGCCACCTCCAGTCGGAATTCTCGTAACTTCATCATTTTTGTGTTTTCCCTCTGCGTCTCTACTCTTTTATATAAAAGCCAGCTATTTATCAGCATCACATCTAGCAAATGATAGAATATTCTCATGTACCACTTTCTTGTACGCATTTTTATTTTGTGTTTTCCTATGAAAGAGTCAAGGAGATCTACTCCGCCCATATGCCGATTGTAATGTCCAATAATATTTGGGGCGTTGACTTCTGTGTATTGTTTACGTTTCTTACAGAAACGTTTTACTTTATATTTAGGTTGTTCACCGACAAAAGAAGATGCGAGAACAACAGATTTGCTGTCTAGCCACAGCACTGCTGAGACTGGTACTGCATCAACAGTAGCCACCCATCCTTCTGAATAGCCGCGCGGCCTTTTAGCGGCCGTCAGTTCTTTTTGAGATGGCATTTTCAAAATCCCTTGCCCCATACGACCCTTGTTCACGGTGCCTAATGTATGAATGCCTTTTTTAGCCAAGTAAGAAATCAATTCAGGAGACGTGTAATAATTATCGAAAAAGATCTTATAATTTTAATTTCTTGGAACACTGCGACATAGGCGTACAACGATGTTGCTACTCGCTCCTAAATCACATTCGTCGGGCAGCCTCAACTCAGGATCATTTTCTGCGCCGGAGTAGATTTCAAAGTCATAAGCAAAACCTTTATCATCACACAACACCAACAACTTGTATCCCCACTTATGAGGTTTGTTCGGGAGATACTGGCGGAGGAAGTTGCAGGTTTTGGTAGCGCACATTTGCTCATCCACCGAAAGTGTCTCTCGTTTCGGCACAGATTGACATTTCTTTCTCAATGTTTCCAATAAGGGTCTAATACGGAAAAGTCTGTCGTGTCCTGGCTCTCCTCTAAGTTTGTAATTTATGTTGTCATTGAAATGTATGACACTTCGTAATTTTTCAAAGTTACCGAGTGTCATCGTTTCAATTATAAGTGGTATACCTAATATAGAATTCCACAACATGCGAATGTTTGGCTGTGGCACCAGTCCTAACAAGAGACAGATGCCTAAATATTTTTTGAGTTCCGTCTTTGTAACCAAAACTGGCTTTGAGCAATCCTTCTGTATGCTGTATATAGTAGATTCTTCAGCAATGTGATCCAACAAATCGTCAAAAAAGTGCAAAAAGTACTGCAAAGGTGTTTCAAATGTAGTATATGGTTGTTCCAACACGTCAACGCCAGTAAATGTGGTATCAGGTGGCTGAAAGTCCATCTTCCGCCTTATGTATTCTCTCTTAGGTTTTGGCCTGGCAGGCCTGACAGGCTGTGGGGAAGGTGAAATGATGCGGGGAGTAGGTACTGCTTGAGGTCGTGATGCTACTCAGCTGGATCTAGAATTTACTTGCCTGGAAGTACTAGGTTGTGATGCAATGTTGGCTGTGTTAGAAGAACTGCTTGTTGGCTGAATCACTAACATACTACTGCTTGACCTTGGACTAGGTATGCTCACGTTCTCATCGAAGAAATCATCCTGTAGTACTTCAGGGCACGTCTCCACTTCGTTCAACACCAAATCCTGGATTCTGATCAAGTCGTCATCGCTGTCCTCATCAGACAGTTCCAGGTCATCTTCACTACCGGAAGGAATTTCGAGAAACTGTTGAATATCATCAGAATTCAAATTTTTCCTTCGGCTCATCTAGAAACAATACAAATATTTTGAAGACACTTATTGCATCGTGTGCCACATCTGTCACATACAAAAATGTCGTATTTCTATGCACTATTTATTTATGAAATTACAAATAACTAAAAAAATAACAAATAGATACATAAACTTACCTCTACAAATTATTTCGTATACAAACTATTCAAATTTATCAGATTTTTTGTATTTTTCTTGCGCAACCTGTCGATCACTTTCCAAATACCGTTGGTTTTGAACAAAATGTAAACAAACATTCATTCAGAGACATCTAACCAAAAATTTTAGTACTAAATTTGATTGACCATTCCTTTATAGTTAGTTTACTTTTGACTAGATGACGCTACTTATTTCGAGTACGGAAATATAGAGGTTTTTTAGGTATGTGCCACATGTGTCCCACTATGCGCTGTAGGGTTATGTTTAAGTATTTTCATTATTTTTTTTATGAAATTATCGTTTCATTTAGCTGTACTAACATGATGGAGCGTGAATAAAGTTAATAAAACGTTGTGATAAAATGATTTCTTTTCCTCGGGATCGAATTTCTTTTGACCCATCATCAAAGGTATCCTTAGTGCTATCGTCTGTCTTCGTTTTCGGGAGCGTTTCACTAACACCCTGTATATTATAGTATATAACATAAAAGTTTATAATGCTTATTAAAGTTACACATAATCATATAATAAACTACTTAATTATTGAATACAACTTGTTTATTCGAATGTGATGGACGAGCTTGCATGGTTTTAACGAGGTTTTTGATTCTCAGCTTGACCACACAAATCGCATAACGCAAATCACTATCAATGTTAAGTTTATTTCTGTACTTAGTTCTTATTGCTACAACAGCAGAAAATCTCCTTTCGCACAAATATGTACTGGAAAAGGGTAAATACAATCGAAGTGCTTTCTTTGCTATTTTGGGATAGGTTGCGAAATATTTGACCCAAAACATTGTTTTACCCCTTTTTTCGAAATGTTTCTGGCAGGGCATCTATGTTAACATGGTATGGATCCGTCGCCAATCGATAAACATCATCATCACATGAAGTAGGAAAGTAACGGTTGAACTCATCAGTAAGGCGCTGCAAATATTTGATATCTTTCTCTTGGTTTCAGAATCCTCAAAAACCTTCACAAAGTGCGTTTCTTCTGAAATACTGCATAATTTGGGAAAACAGGAGTAATTTGATGGCTCTTTTCAGTAAAACTCTTGATGACATCTCGATGATAAATTATATTTGCATCTTCATCTTGAAGTTTCAAGTTTAAATAGTTAAAAAAATCAAATATATCGAATAAATTGGCCAATGCCACTTGGACACTTGAGCTTTTGAATCCGTTGTATAGCTTGGTGTGGTATTCAAAAAATAGTGTTACTTTGTCGCGAAGTTCAAATAAACTTGCCACACTTATACCTTTTGAGAGCCAGCGCACTTCTTTGTGAAATAATAATGTTTTATGCTCGGTGCCCAAATCTTCACAAAGAGCTTTAAAAAGTCGAGTATTTAACGCACTTTTTTTAATACAATTTACGACTTTGATATATAGTTTTAACACGTCATATAGTTTCGCTGGGTAGTGTTATTGCCGCCAAAGCTTGGCGGCATATAAAACAGTGCATCGCTGTTATATTGGGATTTTTTTGTTTAATCTGTTGTATAATCCCTGAGCACAGCGGTGACACTCTGTACGTGAGAGTTGAAGCGCCGGTGACATTAGACCGGATCGTGTAACGCTAGAGTTGATACCGAACTGAAATGGAATACTCGTATTATAGACTTGTGCCAAAGAAGATACATAGTATATGTTATATAATGTAAACTTATGTATATAGATAGTGAAAGCTACGATCAATTTTAAATCAACTTTTATTAAATATCTTTACAGATGGGGAAAATTAAGGTTTCCGACAAAACAAAATATGCACGACAGTTAATGGTAATCTTAAATAATAATTAACCAACACTTAGTATTTCAGTACGCAATAATCAGTATTACCTTACTACCCTTTAAAAATTACTTACTCTTATATATTTTTGGCTTTTTCAATAACTTTTACAATAACTTTTACAATTTTTATTATTATTTCTAACAATTGAAACAATTCGTAGCCAAATGTATAATTTTTTTAGAAAATCCATAGGGAAGCGTATATAGATAGATAGATAACACTTAATTGTACGCCAATAAATAATATTAATATCAACAAAATATGAGAAAAATAAATGTGGTACAATGGGTGGTCTTATCACTAAGAGCGATCTCTTCCAGACAAAATTTGAAGGATTGCAAGAAAACAATAAAAACTTGTGTGGTTTAACGACAAAAATAACATTATTTTTATTGAAGCTATAAAATAGAAATACAGAATGGTATATAAGTACATAGTAAAAGTCCCTCGGTTTTCGACAATAAACCGACGGTACATCTATCCTGCTCTAATACATGCTCTACAGTCTACACCTTCTAATGAATGATCGCTTTATTCTGCTTGCATGTCTCATTTCAGTAATTTTTTGTGCAGCCATTTGCACACGCTCCCGTAGCTGGTCCACTAAGGTAATAGGATCTTTGTACACCTTCTCTTTGAGGCATCTTCAGTAAAAAAAGTCGAGTGGGTTAAGGTCCGGTGATCGTGAGGGCCATAAAATTGTCCCTAATCGCCCGATCCATCTTCTGGGATACATTTCGTCGAGATAGTCTCGAACGCTATGGGTGTAATGGGCGGGGCAACCATCGTGCTGCCGCCACATTCTTCTTCTCTCTTCTAACGAAACGTTTTCCAATAAAGTGGGGAGATCGTGTCTTAAAAAATGCAAATCTTATCTATAGGTCAATGTTCCTGGTAATTCGAATGGACCGATGATGTTGCCGTTTAGGATCCCAGTCTAAAGGTTTATTTTAAATTGATACTGGGACCCGTCTTCTCGCACCAAATGAGGGTTGGTTAGCTGCCAACTGTGCAGATTGTGCATATTAAAATATCCACCTTTTTTTGCACGTGGACTCGTCGCTCCACAGAATTTTACCGAAGAATTCGGGATCATTGTTGAATTTTCTTAGCATGTTTTCGCAGAATTCAACTCTTGCAGGATACTCTCTTGGCAGCAAACATTGAACGCGCTGATAATGAAATGGGTGTAAATTCTCTCGTTTTAATATCCTATGCACTGTTCTAGCCGATATGCCTGTGTGCAAATCAAGTCCGAAGTCAGCACAAAGTCGTTACACCAAATTAAAAAGTCCAAATCGATAGGCAAAATCAAGTCCAAGATCACAGCACAAATCGATGAATTTCAATCCAAAGCAGGGTAAAACGATATTGCACAGGAGTAGTATGATAGCACACTGACTTAAAAGAGCGCTTTGCCCACAAACCACAAATATGAAAAGGATGTCTGTTACACAATTGGGTCACTAATTCGTCTTTCTTTTTCACTCATGGCATGAAAGAGCAGGATAGATGTACCGTCGGTTTATTGTCGCTAGTGTAAGTAACCGATTTATTCCAAGAATTATATTCCCTACCTGGCAGTGGGCTCGTTTCTGCAAAGTCAATGGGCTATGCAGGCCGTTGTTCCAAACAATTTTAAAAACAAGGTTTACATTAAACTAGGCCTTTAACTCATTATAATAGGAATTTATTTTGTATTAAATGCTGGAAATACAGTGAGTTATACCATTTCGGAATCTCAATGAAACAGGCATGTTTTTTCTTAATTTGGCACTCAGGTGGCCATGTTTTTTTTACACCACGTTAGGTTAAACTTAGGATAAAAAATAAGAAAATCATGAAATTTGAGTTAGATCTTTGTTTAAAAAAAACTATGCTTGCGCCCCTAAAATCATAATTTACATTCGATAGCGCTTCTATCCAGGAATACTATCCAAAAAATAGATTGAAAAAATTCCTTCATTTGGAGTCTTATGACGAAAAAGAGTGGCAAAGGGAAAAGAGATAATTCGACAAAATTAATCTTTTTGAATTTTCGAAAATGTCGAGTTATCTCGAAAACCGAGGGACTTTTACAAAACATGAAACATATTTTTATGAACCGCCACAACGTCCTCTACCCGCAGGTACCGTATTATCCATTCATTACGCCACAACCTGTATATATACAACACGTAACATAATTAACGCACTTTGAGAAAGTAGTTTGTTCAGAATCGTTAACTGAATCGATTTCTATCATTTTTAATATAGGTAACTTTTTTATCCCAAAAATAATTGAAACTACGTTATTTACAGTCCCACTAAAGCTGTACAGTCAAACAAACTGAAATGGACCGTAACTCAAGGCAATAAGACTTTTAAAAGTGCAGTTTTATTTGTATTAATACAAATTCCGTCATTCAATACAAAATAAAGAAAATTGAACCTTATCGTCTTTACAAATACAGAGTTTGGAGTGCCTTATAAAGGTAGCGGCGGCCAGGCCATTGACCTCCCAGATCACCTGATTTGACGCCTTTTGACTGTTCTTTATGGGGACGTATTAAATCATTAGTTTATTTTACTCAGACAACAAGTGCCGAGCTGCCGAGGACCTAAAAATAGT